AAATAGAACTCTAATGGATGATGTAGCCAAACTCGGACCCCCCCCCATCGCTCCCCTCAACCGTCTGGCAGGAACACGTATGTGGTGGTGGAGGAGGAGGTGTTGGAGGAGGAGGAGGAGGAGGAGAGCCAGAAAAAAGAATTTTGACCCCCTTTCTCTCGCAGGGAGTCAGCAGGTCGGCTGAAATGTTCCTTCCTGCGATCGCTTTCCTCAAGGTGAGAGGAGGAAGAGGAGGAGGAGGAGGAGAAGCAAAAACGACAGAGGAAGAAGGATCCTAGGAGGGGAATTGACGGAGGGGAGGGCAAAAGGGGTTTCAAAAGGAGGAGAGACTAAGGAGGTATGGAGGGAAGGGAGGAAACGGTTAGGAAGGAGGAGGAAAGGGAGGAAACAGATTGGAAGTGAGGGAGGAAGGAGTAATGTGGTAGGAAAGGAGGGGGCAGGAAGGGTGAGATGGGAGAACGGAGGATGGGACCAGGGGCTGATGAAGGAAGGGGACGCAGGTGAAGTCGCTGGGAGCACCGGGCATGACTCTTTGGCTGGTGTCCAACGGGATCTTCAGGGGTAGGAGAGGATCCTTGGAGGGAGGGGAGGAGGATGACGTGGAGGGGAAGGGCTGGGGGATACCGTGACACCTCTCAAGTGGGCATCTATCTTCACGCTGCTCAACGGTCTGCCAGACAGCTCCTGATCCTCTCCTGCTCTGACGCGCGTGCTCTCGGGACAGCCGTGCTCGATCCCTTCTTCATCTTCACGCTGAACTTGGGGTGCCCCGGTGAGGAAGGCTGCGATGCAGCATGGACTTGTTCTCCCTCCTCCTCCTCCTCCTCCTCCTCCTCCTCCTTCTCCTTGTCCTCCTCCTCCTCCTCCTCCTCCTCCTTCGCCTGTTTCTCGTTCGAGCTCTTTTACTTGCGTTCCCATGAAACGTTCTCTCACCAGGGGCTGCGATGGGAACTGTTGCAGCGCAGTACATAGCAGTGATCCCGTTGCTGCTGAAACTGCACGAGAAGGTAACAAGTTCATGACACATCAATCTTCAAATGTCTTCTCACACTTCACCTCCAGTTCCATCTTCAGTTCTCCCTCTCCAGCCTCAGGAGCTCCCTCACCAGCTACCTGAGCTCCGGCTCCTTCGTGTTCATCCGCACCATCGGCAAAGTCCTGACCTACTTCGTGAGAAGATTGGAAAGGAGGAGGAGGGGGAGGGGGAGGAGATGGAGCAGGAGGAGGAGATGGAGGGGGGGGGACGAGGAGGAGGAGATGGAGCAGGAGGAGGGCGAGGAGCGAAGTGACGTCGGGTTCAGGTGTGCTCCCGGGAGGCAGCTCTACTTGGAACAGTTTCATCAGCAGCTTACAACATCTGGTGATGGCAAGGGAGGGATTGAACTTGCTTTTTGTGATGGATCCTCGTCAGCTTTCAACTTGGAACAGCAACAACTCAGATCTGCGAATCGATCTCTGTCGCATCCCAGTCCATTCTTGCCCGAGAGTCGACCAAAGATGACGTGCGAAGGTTCTGCTCCTTGTGCCGTTGCTCGCATGATGATGATGATGATGATGATGAGGAGGAGGAGGAGGAGGAGGAGGAGGAGAAGGAAAGGGCGGGGGGGAGGAGGAGGAGGGGAAGGGGCAGGGGCGGGGGGAGGAGCAGAAGATGATTATGATCGTGATGACCGAAACTTGACGATGACGACAACCATGAGGAGTATCGCATGACGATCGTGTTGATGTCAGGAGGAATCTGATATGCAGGCATGTCATATTCCGAGGGGTCCTTGGAGGAGCTTTGATCGCATCGTTGCTGAGGTGTTTCTATCTCTTTCTCCTGTTGCATCCGTTTCTTTCACCTGTTTCACCCGTTTCGTTCACCTGTTTCACCTGTTTCTTTCACCTGTTTCTTTCACCTGTTTCGCCTGTTTCTTTCACCTGTTTCACCCGTTTCTTTCACCTGTTTCGCCTGTTTCTTTCACCTGTTTCACCTGTTTCGTTCACCTGTTTCACCTGTTTCTTTCACCTGTTTCTCCTGTAATCTCTGACAACTCTCTCTTCCCTCAGCCTCTTCACCTTCTTGAATCAGCGACATGTCCTGCAAGGGCTGACTACAGATGCATCGGTCTCCTTGCCCTCTCCTGCTCCCTGATCATAATCATGACTTGATGAGCGCAGGTGCAGGCGGCTGCCGCAACCATCATGCCACTTGTGCTATGGACACAAGTGAGCGACGAGTGGAGGGAGGAGAGAAATTCAAGGAAGAGGGAAGGACGAGGAGAAGGAGAAGGAGAAGGAGAATCACAAGGAGGAGGAGGAGGAGGGTGCGAGGAGGAGGAGGAGGAGGAGGAGGAGGAGGAGGAAGACGGAGGACAGGATGACAGAAAGAGAGAGGAGAGGAGACGATCGCAGACTGTGAGAGAGGAGACAAGGAGGAAGTCAGGTTAAGGAGAGAAACTTGACACGGCTGGCAGGTCAGCAAGGGGATGGCTTACCCGGTGAATGGAATGATCATGGGGGCTATGGATTGGAAGTTCTTGTCGGCCTCCATGTAGTCTCCTCCTCCCTCTTTCCTCCTCCCTCCTCCTTCCTCCCTCCTCCCTCCTCCCTCCTCTCTCAACTTCCCCTCCAAGTCTTCTTCCTTCGTCCGCCATGCTCTGCTCCGTCCTTCTCCCTCCTGTCTTGGATCGACTCCTCCTGCCCATCAGCTCACCAGCCACCAGGTGGCTCTGCAACTTCTGCTGTTTAGGAACGATATGGTACTTCAAGTCTCAGCAGACTATTGGTGAGACCAAGTCATTAAGGGGATAGTGAGAACGAGGAGCAGAGGAGGAGGAGGAGGAGGAGGAGGAGGAGGAGGAGGAGGAGGAGGAGGAGGGACAAACACAAGGACAAGGACGAGGACGAGGACGAGGACGAGGACGAGGACGAGGACGACAATGATGATGGTGTTGGCAGGCACCATCTGGATTGCTCTTTGTATTTTCATGTCCATGCAGGTGATATCAGACATTGTTGTGCTTGCCCGCATAACTTCTGCTCTCAGTGTGTGAGCGGGTTATGTCGGATAGCCTCCAAGACAGGCCCATGGCGACGAATGCTTGCAAACTGACAGCAGCGGGACTATTCATTCTCATTGTTTGTATAGTACAACATGAAGCAGAAAAGACAGAAGTAAAACTCATTCAGACGCTCCCAATGCAGGAACAAAGGAGGAGGAGCAGAACGTCTCCTGTCACTGCTTGTTAGACTCAGAACTGTGGTTTGAAGATGAGGCCGGGTTGTAACAGGTTTTCCATCCCCCAGCCCTTCAACTCTCGCAAGGACCTGCAGACTAGCGATGAGTTCACAACCCCAACATCTCACGACCAACCTCTCAAGGTGTAGGAGAGACAAGACAGCGATGATGCAGCAGGACAAGCAAGTCAGCACGACGATGATGTATCGAACCCAACTTGGCCTACACATGTCGTTAGTCGACCTCCTCCTCCTCTCCTCACTCTCCTCCTCCACCGCCTGATCCTCGTGCCCTGCTCCTCCTTTACTATCTCCCCCTTCGCTGCCCCTCCCCTCCACTACCAACACCTCGTCCTCCTCGTCCTCCTCCTTGTCTTCCTCGTCCTCCTCGTCCTCCTCCTCGTCCTCCTAGTCTCCCCCTCTCGTACCTCGTCTGATCATGCTTGCGCATCGCCCCGAGGAGGAGGAGGGCAGAGAGAACACACGTGAGGAGGCCTGTCGTGCTGCCCACCAGGGCAAAGAAATGCCCAGGCAGAGGAAGAAACGACGCGGCAAAACCCGATGCAGCAATGAAGGTGACCCGGACAAATCCTGGATGATCGACAGTGAGGAGGGGACAGAGGACGAGCAAGAAGAGGAGGAGGAAGAAGACGAGGACGAGGACGAGGACGAGGACGAGGACGAGGACGAGGACGAGGACGAGGACGAGGACGAGGACGAGGACGAGGACGAGCAAGAGAAGGAGCAGGAAGTGGGAAGGACGATGCAAAAAGGGAAGATACAGAAGAGGGAGCACAAGGGAGAAAGGAGGAGAGAGGAAAGGAGAGAGCGAGAGGACCGCGAGCTATGGGGATGAGAGCATGGCGAATGTCGAAGTGGCGCATGAATCGCAAGCCTGCAAGGGAATCAGAGGGAGGAAGGGAAGACCGGAGAGCGTTGGAGGGAAGAAGAGGAGGAAGAAAGAGGAGAGATAGGAAGAGAAGGAAGATAGCGGATAGAGAAGGAGGAGGGGGTTGAGATAAAAGTGGAGCAGGAGCAAGAGCAACAGGAGCACGAGCACGAGCACGAGCACGAGCAACAGGAGCAGGAGCAGGAGCAGGAGCAGGAGCAGGAGCAGGAGCAGGAGCAGGAGCAGGAGCAGGAGCAGGAGCAGGAGCAGGAGCAGGAGCAGGAGCAGGAGCAGGAGCAGGAGCAGGAGCAGGAGGAGCAGGAGCAACAGGAGCAGGAGCAGGATCAGGAGCACGAGCACGAGCAGGAGGAGGAGCAGGAGGGGGAGAGAGAGTGTGAGAGTAATCGGAGCAGACCGACGAAGTTGATTTCGAAGATCCTGAGGGACGTGAGGATATGATGGCGGAAGACGATGAGGAGGTGGAGGAGCAGAGCGACTTGTGACAGCAGGACGAGTCGGCTGAATGCGAACAAGACCCTCTCGTCAACGAGAGACCCTCCTGCTGCTGCTCCTGCTCCTGCTCCTGCTCCTCCTCTGCTGATCTCTGTCACAGAGTTAGTTAGCCTGCTGCTGCACTAACGGCAAGGACTGACCGAGCACGGAAAGGGACAAGGACATGGCGAGTAGGGCGAGGACGGAAAACATCAGCGCGACGAGGAAGGAGAGGAGCTGAGAGGCGAGTATCCTCCTGCTGCCCCGTCAGTCCCCCTCCTCCCTCCTCCAGCTGGAGTCACCTGAGCTGGGAATGCATCCCGTCTGCTGTGAGGCCCGATCGGTAGAGGGGAAGGTGGAGGAACCTCGAGCACTTGTTCAGCACTGCCAACCAGCAGCAGACTGCTTGTGCGAAGTTCCCGAAGTCCATGGCAGGCGGAGCAGGAGGGAGAGGACGAGGGCGGACGATGGGATCGAAGGAAAACCAGGGAGAGCAGGTGACGTTGGCTGACAGCTTGATCGGATGGTTGGTGAAGTTGGAAGAGAACTGACTTGAGACAGGCAAGAACGCGTCCGCAAGGTTTCCCCTCTGAGGAGGAGGAGTGGTCAGAGGTACATCGCTCCTGCCTCCCGGCCGACCAACCTTCCTCATGAAGTACGACATGGTTGCGACAGCAGCTGCCAAGAAGACAACGGAGAGGAAGAGAGCAGCGCGCTCGGTTCTGCTCCTGAGGTAGCTCTGATGGATGCTCTCCCGCAAAGTGCAGACGATGGTCAGCTGGAGGGCAGCAGGTCAAGACTGAACGACGAGACGCTGGGACGACTCACTATGGAGGTGAAGAATCCGCATTCAAAGATGGAGATCCGAGGGAAAACCTGTCGGTCAGCTCAGGGAGGATGGCAGAAGTGTGAACGAAGGAGACTACTTCTTGAACAACGTTGACAAGAAAGGAAAGAATCGCTGCGGATATCAACCATTCGTTCAGTAGCTCGAGCATGTCTGCAAGGAAAGCGAATCTGGTCGCGGGGGGGGCAGTCAGAGCAAGGTGTGCAGCAAGAGCTTGAAGCAAGACCTCTGCCCAAAGATGCAGAAAACAAGGTCTCCAACCTTGTGGCAGATGTTTCCACTGCTCCTGCGTTTGACCATGTCATGAGAACATCCAAAGAAAGCAGCGGCGGAGGAGAGGAAGGAGCAAAAGGGGCACGCTGACGAAAAGGACCAGGACCAGGACCAGGACCAGGACCAGGACCAGGACCAGGACCAGGACCAGGACCAGCAGCACCAGCACCAGCACCAGCAGCGGAGACGGAGGAGGAGGACCAGCAGGAGGAGTGAGGAGGAGGAGAAGGAGCAGCAGCAGCAGCAGCCAATACAACATCAGTCACCTCGAAGCTGCTCGCAGGATGACCTGAGTCCGCCTTAGCCCGTACAGGGTCATCGAGTGTATGAGGAAAGCGACCATGAAGGTCAAGGCAGCATCGGCAAGCATGTAGCTACAGCAGTGAGCGACGGAGAACAGAACAAGGATGTGAGTCGATGTGATGGACATCATCCCAGCTGACTCCACCCAAAGAGACGGAAACCTGCCGCTCTCTACCGCCATGGTTCCACTCTCCACATCCTGCTCCTCGCACACGTCAGGACCCCCGGCACACAAGGAACATCGAACGACCTTGCTCGCTGCCTCTGAGCTTGAGATCACGTCTGAATCTTCGAAGTTCCAGGATGTTGTCTTGTACGAGCTGTCGCCCTCGTCCTCCCTCCTCGACGAAATGCTCATCGCAATCTTCTCCCTCATCCTCGCATCGAACTCGTCCAGGAACATCTTTCCTCTCTTCACTTCGCTCGCTTCTTTCTTCTTCTTCTTCTTCGCCTTCTTGACCTTTTCTGTGCCCGTCTCGTTGCTGCCTTGCTTTGCTCCCATCCTCGCGAGCTGCTTCGCTGAAAGCTTCCCTTCACCGATGCTGGCCAACTGATCACCTGGAAGTTTGTGAGAGCATGCGACAGTCATTCAAGCAAATGGTGAGATGCAGGGAAAGCGACGGAAAGAAACAGAGAAGTATGGAACATCTTCAATATGAGACATACTAGATCACAAGGCTTCCCGTTCGTGCCACAGAGGAGAGGGAGAGATACAGAGAAAGATCAGACAGAGATTGAGAACAAGATGAACCTCCTCCTCCTCTCCCCTCCTCCTTTCCTCCTCCTCCTCCTCCTCGTTCCTCTACTCCTCCTCCTCCTCGTCGTCGATGCTCCTCTCCTCCTCCCTCCCCCTCCTCCTTCATCTCCTCCTCCTCTCCTCACCTTCTCCCGGCAACAAGAGCGGCTCCTCGTCCTCCCCACTCCCCTTGATCATTTTGCCATTGCCTCCAAAGGTTTCGACCTCATCCCCGCTCAGTACCACTGAACCAGCGAACTTGTTGAGTAAATTTCTTTACTCAAAGTCAAGTTATACTCTCAGTACGAGTAAACTTTGAGTAAAAGTAAATTAGTAGTACCAAACAGTTTCAGTGACTCCAGGGGGTTCTCCAGGAGTCACTGAGGACTCACTCAGTGCCGATGTTGTCCGGGCAGCTCGGGCCCCGGCAGTGATAAAAATTATAAAAGCCTACGCCGGTACTGGCGGCCGGATTAAGTGAAGTTTTAAGTACTGGACTCCACCACCCAGTACCATACCGTGCAGGGTTTGTGGTACTGGGGTGCTGGTTTTGGTGAGAACGTTGAAGAGGGTGGTGGGGTGGAGACGATTGACACGCTGTCCACCCCCTCTTGACAGAGTAATTGGAGGGGTAGCGAATAGTTGCTGGCGAGGTAGGAAGGGAGTGCTGGAGACACCTATCGCCTCAGACATGCGAGGCGAGGTAGAGGCAGATGAAGCAGATGAAGTGAGGGAGAGGATGGTACTAGAATGTTAGAGGAAGAGACATCTCTTATGGTAGACTAGTCACATGTTCTGGTAACGCCCTGCCAAATTTTATTTGGATTAAGAATGTGAGAAGACAGTTTCTGATTGTTGAGCAGGTATTGGCAGTATTTCAGGGGAATTGATACAGACGAGACACACGGAGAAACCAATCGTTGGTTGGAAATGATCCATATCCTCATCATCCTCATCCTCATCCTCATCCTCATCCTCATCCTCATCAGCTTCCAATTCCTTGTCCCCATCCACAGTAAATCATCAATTTCATCATTGCTTCATTTTATCTTCCTGGTTTCTTCTGCTCACTATCTCCTCTTGACAGATCTTGATTTTCTCTTTGTTTATAGTTCTGCCTTGGCTCTTTCCTCCAGCCTGTTCTCCTGCTGCCGATTCTTCTTCTTATATCCTGACCGATTCCCCTACTGAATCCCTTTGAATTCTGCTTTTTGTCTAAAGGGGTGAGAGAAAAAGTCCAGTAGAAACAATCATGTTGGCACAATGTGGATTCCTAGCTTTCAGACATCCGATGAAGGCTCTGTTTGAGAATGATATATCAATGTTACATCTTTTACAAGTGCTTAACAAACCAAGTGTTGTCCGAGAGATGCCTAGCAAAGAATTAGACAGGAAAATCACTGAGAACGTTCTATGCACAGTGTTATTGTTCCTCAATTCCCTTTATTGACTAAGTCTTTGTCAGTCTAAAATAATAAGAGGATACTATCTCCAGGTACGCACGTCTGGATACTGATATGTTTTGCTGCATGCTTTGCATGATTTTCTTTCAACCCCTGTTCACATTGTTTATTGGTAATATCGGCAGGTTGTATAGCCATTCCAAACTGGTCGCAGCAAGATGGGAGAGAATACTTGCCGGATTAAAACGCTCTGCATTGGTATTGATGCCTACGAGCATATTTCCACCTTGGACAACGCCATTCGTGACGCTACTGACGTTCACAATCAGCTGGAAAGCAGCCCCGGATGCCAGGCAACTCTTCTGGTCAACCCTTCAACGAGGACGGCGATCACAAGTCAGATTTCTTCCCTCGTAAGGGATCGCAAGACGAGGGGCCTGGAGCTGATATTGGTGTTCTTTGCTGGGCATGGGATGCAGCTAAGTAAAGGAGATATAGCATTGCTAACAAGTGACATCGTCCGGGCCGAGGAATCTGAAGAGACTAAGCAGAGCATGATAACAGTAGCGGATATGTTGGAGGCCCTTAGAGATGGAGCTGCCCAGAATTCAGACAGGATTCCTCCTTTGCTGGTTATCATCGATGCCTGCCGAAACTCCAAGAGAAGCGCGTGGATGGGGATGGAGAGGTTGGAGCATGAAGGATCCAGCTTGATCCAACGAATGCGAGTGTCGCTGTGCCTTTCGTGCAGCAGAGGTCAACAAGCATCGGACGAATCAGCATTCCTCGAAGATCTACTTGACAGCGAGCAAGGAATGTTTGCTCAGAATCGAAGACTCAAACTCGCCATAGAATACGCGGTGCGGATGAGCTACGACAGAGAACAAGGAAAGTATGGTCAGTATGCAAGGACATTGTGTACGGAACTCATTCCAGACAAGCTCTGTCTCAGAAATGATAAGACGGTAGCAGCAGACCTGCAACAGATAAGGATGGGAGTGGAAAGCTTGATTCAAAGCGAGGGGATGCAGCCAGACAGTACAGACTCGGGGGTGCAGGTTGTAGCAGCGTACAGTCCTGCAGCAACACGAACAGGAGCAGATGTTTTCCGAGAAAGTCTCCTCCAGCTCGTAAGAAAAAGCCTTTTTAGCTTGCAAGATAAGGGTCCACGATGGAAAATATGCTCGATGTTCCTTTTGGTGTTCCTGAGCAACAAGGGCACGACGTACAAAAAACAAGGTGACCGAGGATTCTTTCATGCCTTTGCAAAGCAGATGGTCGGGCCTGAGCTGATCAAAACAGTTGGGAAGGCCATGGTTGCCGATGAGATCTGGTCAGAGAAACTGGAGCGATGGATACGAGAGAGATACGGGGAGATTGACAGGAAGAAGATGGTGACAGCAGCTATTGATTTCACAGTGCGCGAGGAGATTAGAAGCTCATTGAGACATATGGAAGAGGAGGCGAATGCAGAAATAAAATGGTGGACCAGGAACGACTATCTTGCAGATCACTACAGTAAGGGGGAAAAAGAACAAGAGGAGGCACTAGACCTTGCGGAAGAATATCTCAAAGACAAGATAACCGCTGACCAAGAAGGGCGACTGAGCCCTCTGCTTGCTGTTCACGTTCTGTCTCGAGTCGTCGAGACCGGCAGCTGCGTTGCGTTCTTGAAGATGACAAGATTGAGCAGCGCTTGTATGTCAGTGATGCTTGCGAAGAGCGTCCGAGAGGTTCTAGGCGGGAATGGAAAAGAGGGCTTGTTTCGAACATGGATCAGCAGCAGCGGTTGGCTGAGCGGACCTCGTGAGTACGGGGAGATGGAGGAGAGGATGGAAGCGAAGGAGGTAGAGATGCTTCGGACCCTGCTGCTCACCGTCGGGGGAGGTGTGTCGAAATTCATTGATTGGAAGAAATTGGAGCAACCAGGTACTAAACAACCTCTTCGTTGCCCATCTCAATCAACATACTGAAATCATGTGGGGCAGGATCGATAACAATCTTGCCTCAAAGAAAAGGTCAAGCGTTTGATTGACTTGAACGAGAGGAGTATGACTTGAACTTCCAGATCGAAAATCTCTTGAAGATTCGAAACCAAACATCAAAATGGAAAAGGTGCGTAAAGATTTGCCGTTTCATTTTGTTGTCTGGATAACTTTCTTTCTTATTTTTGGTTTCAACAGGTCGACCCTGTGAAGAAAGTGACATATCGAGAAGAGAAAGTTCCTGCCAAGACTAGCAAGAAATTGAGTGCTGACTCTGCTGGGGTCCAAGAAACCCCGCTTGCAGGGTAAGCGAACTGTAGAACTACCATTTTTTCATGCCTTCTAGCATTTTGTTTTGTTTGCAATGTGGAAGAGGCCGATGACCTGAGGAACTGGCGAGAAATCTCACGCGAGGACAGCACAAGAGATGGGTCCAGTGTAGTGAGAAAACAAGATGGCTTGTTTTTTGAAATTTTCTTAGATTTGATCATCATAATCTCTTAGATATTTTCAAAGTCTACCAGCAGATTTAGCAACGGATTCTTCAGGAGAAGCTTTGTTTGCGAATATTCATTTTGACACTTTTGTTTACTTGGCCAGGTCAATGCTTTCAGTGAAAATGGAAATCGAAGAAAGCTTCGATGGGGCAGGTATCGGAATTACTGTTGGTGTCGACGAAGAAACCAGCATATGGATGAAGAAGATTTGTCAAGATTTGAAGATTGACTTGAAGAGGCTTGAAGCTCACGAATGTGCTTTTTACTCTGACTTGTCTCTCGAACATCAGAGCATGATGACAGACATTTCGTTCTTTCCCCAGCTGGTGACTGCCTTGCAAAAACGCCTGACTAAAAACAAAGAAATCAACGTCCTCGGCTGCATTAACAAAGCCAAAGAATCCGAGAATAATGATTCGCAAAAGCGCGAGTTGCTGGAAGGCGCAGCCATGATGGCGCGCGCACTCGGTATGAATCAGAGAGAAAAGAATGATCTGATAAGTCAAAAGCTGCCTTCACGAGGGAAAGAACAAATCTACGACTGTATGACAAAGTCGACTCAAAAACAGACAGAAAGATGGACTTGGCAGAGTTTGAACGCTGATGGCAGTTTCAGGTTCGTAGAAGTATTTGTGGGAAGTGAAGGCGAAGGCCCTTCCGTTCCTGCAGATAGTAAACCCAGCAGAATACAGATGATTCGCATCAATGAAGGACAAAGGCTGGAAGATCGCACCATTGGCTTTCTTATCATCATGCGTCAAACAGCAGACATTGAGTTGTTGGAAAAAGAGCTCAACCTGCTCAGCGAGGCTGAGCAGAGGCAGGAGGTCTCAGACAGACCATGCAGGATTGAGCTTCAAGGTGCAGGAGGCTGTAAGGGACATAAATCAGCGATCGAGATTATCCAGCAGGATCTTGAGCAACTCACTCCAGAAGAGTTTGAGAAGCGTGTGAAGGAAGCCTTCGAGTCTGAGGAGTTCACCAAGCCATGTCGAGTGAGAGGAATCGAGAGGATCGTCAAGATCGAGATACTCGATGATGGGTTTGGGGGCAGAAAGACGTTTGATCGTCAAGACACGGGTTACTTTCAAGCCATATCGGAGCGATACAACAAGCAGAGGTCAAACCAAGACCCTGAGCTCGGGCTTCAGCTGGTGATCAAGATGAGGGTCGAGGCGTCGGTGCTTCCGTCATCTGAAGATGTTCTAGAGACGCTGCGACCGCTCGACGCCTCAGAGATCGAGACGGATGCTCGTGCGTTAGGGAGAGTGTTTCCGGAGCAGAAGGCGGTAGCCGGCCGGATCTTGAACCGACTCAAGTTTGTGTTGCAGGAAGAGAAGATGAGCCTGAGAGACTTTGAGAAGCTTGACTTTGCGATTCTTGTTCCGAACTTCTTGACCCTCAAGCAGCAGACCGAAGCACGCATGCTCGAGACCTTGTTCTCCGATATGACCTCAGACAGAGAGTGTAACAAGGTCGTTGCTCATCAAGCACCTGCGGCGGAGCAGCTGAGAAAGAAGATTCTGAGCATTTCAGACAAGACGCTGTTTGTGCTGATCTCCGATGAGTCGCATTGGGCGTTGAACAAAGGCAGCCCTCAAGACCTGATTATCAATGATCCAAACCTGATGGAGAAGAAGAACTTCATAGTGTTGCAAGTCAGTGCTACACCGTACCCAAACCTCACCCTCCACAGTAGGATACCCGAGAAGTACGTGAAGTTCGAGGAGGATGATCCTTACAAGCCGGTGCAAGAAGCGAAGGAGCAAAAGACTGGCGAGTTTGATGAGGAGCTGCACGTGATCAAGTGGAAGCTGAGATCGCGGAGATACCGGACGATATACTTTCGGTTTGAAGACTTCCTGCGAACTTTGCCGTCTTATGTCTTAGATGAGTGTATCCTACCCGGTGAAGAGGCTTCTGCAGACGATCAAACTCGAGAGGACGTGCGGAATCAACTCATCCGTCGAGAAAACAACCTGATCAGCACGCTGATGGAGTCCGTCAAAGTTTCGAGGAAGAAGAAGGAAGAAGAAGAAGCCGTCAGGGAGCATGTCTGGCTCGCAGACTTTATCCTTTCGATGCTCTACTTTCACAAAGTCCGTTGGGACCGAAGCACTGGCAGGCTGAAGAGTGTTGCTGACGACTTGCACAATATCACTCTTAAAGATCTGGAGAAGTTGAAGCTCGAGGAAGAATACATGACAATAGCAAACAAGTGCAAGTCAAGTGGAGCTAGACAAGCTTGTGCGAAGCTGCGGGAGCGAGTCAAGGAGACCCTGAAGGAGGAGAGAAGTGGGAGTGCGGCTCGGGATTGTATCGCAGAGGTGTTCTACATCAAACTGAAGTCAGAGGCGAAGGAAGAAAGTGTTGAAGTGAATGATGACGACTCGTTCATGGAGGCAGACGACTACTTCCAATTCAACGAGACAGACAGAATAGTCAAGGATCTTCTAAGCCAGCGCAAGCATAACGGGGGTCTTTACGGACATATGAAAGTAGTCGGAATGTTTAGCATCAAGCTAGCCGATGAGGTTTGTGAGGAGCTGAAGCGAATACGCAAATCCTTGTTTGGAGATTCGGTATTCGCGGTCATCGAAGACTACGGAGGGTCTGAGCTGTACGACTGCATTGAAACTCAGTTTCGAGATGAGCCGCTGACCTACGACAAGGACAAAGCACCTCGCTCTATCAACTCGCTCATTCAAGGCAGAGCGCGTGGAAAGAAGTTGACGAGCCTGAACTACAAGGACCTGGAGGGACTCCCGTGTATCTTGGTCCTGATCGAGAAGGGCCGCATGGGCGACACGTTCCCGCACTCCTTCGATTGTCTTGACTTGCGCGTGCGCTCGTCTGACAACACGACGACGCTGATCCAGGTGCGACCTCTTGTCGCCTCGTGTACTTGACCGCGGGGTCCTCAACCTCCTCCTACTGACTTGAACGTGCCGCAGGAGATGGGCAGACTCTGTCGCTACCCGACTTTGCGTGAGGAGCACTGCTTCGAGACATCGGAGGAGGCGGTGCAGGTAGCAAAGGAGAAGAGATGGTTCGAAGGGAAGGGACGGCCGATCGTTGTGTATGCGAATGCTGCAGACGATGAAGTGGATCTGTCACAAGGTCTCGATGGGAAGCGACTCATTGGGATAGCGTGGAGCTTGTCCAGCTGGACTCAGAAAAGTATTCTGCAGGTCGTGGAACGTGGCAAGACCTTGTCGCCTGGAAGGAGAGGTGAAGAAGATTGGTACACGCTGGATCGGAATGTTGACAGAAGCGCCCAAGCATCAATGGCTGAGGATCTGAAAGGCTGTATGCTCATTCGCTTCCCCACGAGTACGTTTAAGATAGGAGGATCACCATCATGGGGAGACGTTCAGTGTCTCAAGATAACAGAGTCTCGAAGACAGGACGATGAGACGAAGATCAGAGTCCAGGACAGTTCACAAGTCAAGAAATGTCCAGATAGCACGTACATAATCGTGCGGGACAGCGCAAGCTTGGCTTGGCTAGCTAGCAGGCACAACTGCCCTCACGGAGGAGTGCTGAAGGAGCTGGAGCATGACCTCCCGTCTGCCCTCGTGAGCTCCTCCTTGTACGACACGCTCATGAAAGCAGTGGAGACAGCTGAATACTGCAGCAAAGAGATCTGGGAATGCATCCGACTCAGCCCACAACTTCACACGCACATGAAGCGAAGAGACGACAGGGGTCAGCTGGTCATCAGCTACCAGAAGAACGAGCTGCATGACTACAGGAACCAACACGTGGCCGTGACGCGAGCAAAGGCTGAGGGAGAAGGCTCCAAGAGAGTCAGAGTCAATCATTGCGACTGGTGTCAAGACCACACGAAAAGAAGACAGCATCAGCTTCGCTTTCTTTTACATGCAGAGTGTCAGATCGGCAAGACAGGAGCGTATCTGCACCTTCTCAACTTTCTCAGGAGAGAAGTTGGTCTGAGAGCTGACAGTGAGTATGCCTGCATACCTCAAATACGACCAGAGGATTACCCGATAAAGGTTGAGTTCCAAACCCGCCTTGCCTGGGAGATGCCGTTCTGGCGGGATCTAGCTGGGCAGAAGCTTGGTCTTTTCAAGATGAAGGAGGGGAAATATCACAAGATGGTGATCTTTCAGCGCCTGAGGCTTCTGGCCAAGTGTCTGCGGGACAGTCGTGGCCGGTCGTCATGGCAGCAGCTGTACTGTAAAGCGCTGCTGGCTCCAGCGTCAAGCCAGAACGCTGAGGGCGAGTGCATACAAGTGAAGGAGAAAGTCATTCGTCTCCTAAAGAAAGTGTGGAAGAGTGACAGCAGTCCGATCGAGATCATCTCAGAAGGAGCTGAAGTCAAGCTGAGGATCTTAGACGTTGAGAGACTGAGAGACATCGTCGAGTGGGACAGGGAAGACAGCATGCCTTCTATCGTTGCAGACATGATGAAAGCAGGATTGAAAACTCGATCTGGTGAAACTCTGCTCCAATCAAACCAGGACAAGAGCGAGCTCAGTCTCTCTGCCTTGGGTTCGAAAACAGACCTTCAGAACATTGCATGGGAGGGCAGGGAAACGACGGCTGGGACCTCTCAAGGACTCGCGACAGGGCAAGTGAAGAATGATTTCCCTGCGCGATGCCTCTGCCTCCACACGCTCCCAGAGAAGACCAAGGTGAAGCTGCTGCGACTGTCGCCGATGATGAGAGGCGTGAGGATAGCTCGCTTGTTTGGAGACGACGAGCGTCGATGGCCGAGGATTTCCTTTCCTTTCGGAGAAGAACAAGTGTCACGGTATTTCTCGCTCAAGGACGGGAGAGTGAATGGCGCTGTTGAGCTTCAAGGGGAGAAAGCTATCCGCAACTGGGTGATGACTGCTTCTTACAAGCGAGACGCTGCCGGCAGCATCCAGACAGGGCGAGCTGCATTTCTTGATCGATCGAGCGCCTTCAAAGAGGGAGACCGCGACGTACCTGTACGGCAGATGTTGCTTGTACGACCGGATGACAGCGAGGGAGACGGGCAGTTCTCGAGCTACGTCAGCGAGGTAGGAAGCGAGTACATCGTGGTCGCTCTGTCGCACGAGATGATTCTGAGCGAGGCTGTAAGCGAGCTGGGCTTTCGCTTTGAGCAGTTTGAGCGCCAGATGCCCGATGACGGAAAGCTTCGCCTGACCCCGCAGGACGGAGGGATAGGATACGCGAGGCTGTTCGCCCAGCTGTTCGCGCACCTGCTGGGCCTGGAGAGAGTCTGGATGATCGACGACAACGTTCTCGATTGCTACCAGCTGGACCTGAGCAAGATGTTTGCAAGCGACCCGCCGCTACTTCACCCGCCTGTTGCTTGCTCGTTTGCGACGATAATGCTGCAGATGCAGGATATGATCAGTGATGCACCCAAGTCATCTGAAGAGATATGCCGCCAACACCACAAGCAAGGGAAGGGACAAGCGTGTCCGAAGACAGACGGCTTCTTCGATCATGAGTCGAGCATGATACCCAAGAGCTGTCAGGCTGTGCGAGGAGCTGCGGCTAAAGCTGCTGCCATGGAGCGAGGAGTCAAGAGCACGTCTGATATCTCTACAATACAGGACGTTCGCGGGAACACGGACGGCTATGCAGTGATCGGGATGCGACGAGATGTGAACGTGTTCATGAACAGCAGTGTTCCCTTCAAGATAACTCACAGCGTCTACTCGTTCTTCTTGCTGAATGTCAAGTCGACGATTGGCAAGGGAGTTTTGTTTCCACCCAAGAAGGTGTGGGAGGACGTGGATTTCAACAACCTGTGCGAGGAGGCGGGTCTGGCAGTGCTGAAGGTGAACCGCTTCTTTCATCACAAGCAGCACCGCAGCCTTCATGACAGGCTGGAGGTTGACGATCAGCCTGAGGCCTGCGAGGTAGTCTGTCGGGTGCATGTGAATGGTCGACAGATCTTCAACGTTGCATGTGGTAGCGACATGTCAACTCTGAGTGATGTGTACGAGACTATCGTCAAGAGGCTGAAAAGGTTGTATCCGCAGTCAGACATCAAGAAGGTCACTTGCAGGATACAAGGCGGAGACATCAGCTTTGCCTACAAGGAGAGTTACAGGGACATCAAAGAGCTGGAAGGTCAAGAAATGTGCGAGGCAGTGTACTTGGATGTATTGTTTCCATATGAGGCCCGTGAAAGAATGCAAGTCGATGAAGCTATCGTGACGACAAGTACTTCCAAGGCCTCGATACCCTTCCTTGTGAGCCTGGTAGAGAGCCAAAGGAATATTTTCTACTTTCCGTCTAGGCGTGCATTGGACGAGTCTGAAGGTGACCAGCCTTTCTTTGCAGAGGTCCCTGCAGGCAGAAAGTGGAACGAGCTTTCAGATAAAAGTCTCGACAGAGTCAAACTCGAGGAGTTAAATATCATGTGGGACGACGTCGAAGCGTTTAAACCGTTCTTTAACATCGTTCGGAACCTGCTGCGAGATAAGGAATGTATCAGAAAGATCAACTTGATCCTCCCCGCCAAGGCGTATGAATCCATGAAGGAGAAGATAGACGACAAGATCAAAAACCTTCGCATCGGAAACATGACCAAGACTTGGACCACTGTGTTGCCTTGCAAGGAGGACGCGAGTCAAGAGGACGATGTTGACATGATAGAGGCATCACAATCAGACAATGCCGAGAGTACGATGGACTTTGTCGTCATCTGCTGCAGTAGCGAGGAGGAGAAGAAGGTCTGTCTAGCAGCTCCATCTTGTCTCACAAGCGTCGATCCTAATCAGAATGTGTCAGGCTGCTCAAGACAAGGGGGAGGGGCTACGAGCCGTAAGCCTGCATCTCGCTTGTGTCGCTCGCTGACGAGAGTAGCAGGAGGCGGATGAAGCGAAGCAGCAGGAGGCAGATGAAGCGAAGCAGCAGGAGGCGAAGCAGCAGGAGGCGAAGCCACAGGCTGAGGAGGAGAGCAGCGACTCATCCAAGAAGCCCAAGACTGAGGAGCCGGAGAAGAGGAAGAGCTCTGAACCTCCGGTAGGGGAGAGTCCTGCGAAGAAGGTGAGAGCGAGGCTGTCAGTCAGTCGCTGCTGACGTTTGTTGCAGGGTAAAGCTGCCGAGAAGCAGGGAGACTTGTGGAGGATAGAAAAGTGGAAGAGGAAGTTCCAAGAAGGAGCAGTGCGGGTGGGTGACAACATATCATACCGTCCGGCGAAGCAAGAGGCGGTGAGCTTTGAACATGGAGAGGAAGGTGTGTGGAAACTTCAAGTGACATCTGAGCAGAGGGAAGGCAAAGTGATTGAAGGGGGGAAAATAGAAGAGAAAGGCAAAACATTCGCAGATGTGTTGGAATTCTTCCGATCCGGAGTCGATGATGGAGATGCCTCAGGGTCAGCGCCAGGACAGAAACTGCGAAGTGTGTATATCAACAGAGATGGGAAGAACTTTATTTCAGTTCACGATCTCTTGAAGCAAGAAAAGGATTGATATTTCTGAGTTTCCCAACAATAGGATTAATCAGATTCACCAATAAAGTGATATGGTGTGTGCAACAGACGCGGTGATAGAATTTTGAATTTGTTGGAGTTTGACTGGAAGTCTAGAATGCTCCCATGAGCCATTCACGGTCATGAATGGAAAAAACCACGCTCAGTTGTTCGTACAACAGTAAGCAATGGTGGTTCACACTTGACTGGCCGTTGTACCTCTGACTGTCTGTTTGCTGTCAGCAGCACATCTTGGAGAGCCGTTCAAGTTTTCTTGACGTCAATGGCCGACATTGCGAGAAATCTTCAGCGAAATGAATGCAAGCTCTAGTTTGATGACGGAATGCAGAAAACACGCCGTTGACGATTGAGATGCTGCTAGCGCTGCTGACAATCTCGCAATCAGCATCTTCGTGTGCCAACCAGCACAATAAGATCCTCAGGTGGGTCGCGATGATCAAATGAAGGATTTCATCGTGAAAGCATCAACTCAGGCATGACACGTACGACGAGCAAACCCACCACAGAGCAAGAGAAAAACTGTATACGAGACATCTGACTACACAGAGCAAGATGATAGCTGTAGAACAGACAGTAGCACGATAATGACTGTAGAACAAGCATCAGACTACACAGAGCAAGATGATAGCTGTAGAACAGACAGTAGCACGATAATGACTGTAGAACAAGCATCAGACTACACTGAGCACGATGATAGCTGTAGAACGGGCATCTGACTTGTGCTTTACCCGACGAATTGAATCCGACAAAGAGTCCGCCTCGGTAAGATAAATAGGAGGCAGTAAAGGCAGCAACCTACTTCTACTAGCAGCTCTACCGAAAAACTCACAGAGGAATTTGAAGTGATGGGCAGGGGTGGGGTCGGGGTACAAATGGAGCCCCGTGGTACCTAACACGGAAAGGTGGGGTCTAATTCCTGCGAATATGGGGGGTGGTGTACAATCATTCCGATGTGCACGAGCCTGTAGGGGTAGGGGTTAATTTTGATGGGGTGTTTTATCGGTCTAGTAGGGGGGTAGGGGTGAGGATAGTTGAGTAATAATCGCTCAAAGGGGCGTGGAATTCAATTTGGCGTGTTAACGGCCGGCTGGCAATGGCGAACGTCGGCACGTTGAAGGGAGCGGCGATGCAGGCTGGACGAGGGGAAGGGAGGAGGAACTATGCACGTGTCTGCTGCAGAGTTCGCCCTGCTCTCCCGTCCGAGAGCACAAGATGCTGCACGGAGATTGCAAGCGTCAATGGCGTGAGGGCGCTTCAGCTGAATGACCCACGAGGAGGTCGCGGATCTATGATCTACCAGTTTGACGGGTGAGACAACTTGTCTTCAGCTTCTCGATTGTTGTTCAATATGCCATGATGCTCTCTCTCTCAAACTTACTCCTTTCTTGCACACGATCGATTGCTAAGAGTTTCTCAGGTTGTACACAGCAGCCTCGACGCAGGAGGATATCTTTCAGACGGAGCTCGAGCCGATGATCGAACAAGTCTTGGCAGGTAACAACGCGGCTGTTGTTGCCTTTGGAGTGTCTGGATCAGGGAAGACTCACACGCTGATGGGGAATGATGCCCATCCTGGGATGCTAGTTCGATCCGTCAAATTGTTCCTGGATCTCTTCCAAGGGAACGCCAGGAGCTGCGGCAGCGCCTGTTTGAACGAGATGAAATGCGATCCCAACAACTCATACCTTGAGTTCTCTCTCGTCGAAGTTCACCACAACACGGCGTACGACCTCCTTGACAGCGGTGCTCGTGAACTCTTCGACGGGCAGGACGGGCCGTCGGATCCCTGCCGTGCCCGGGTGGACTCCTACCAGAGTTTCCTCAAGGTCTATCAGACAGCCAAGGAGGACAGGATGTCCTTCCTCAAGTCGACCAACCGCTCGCTGAAGCATCACTTGCTCGTGACCCTCCGGCCCGTCAGGGTCGTCAACGGAGAAGCACATCACGGCAAGCTGAACTTCGTGGATCTGGCAGGGAACGAGGACGGGAAGAAGGGAGGGAGCCAGTCGAAGAACCTGGACACCAACTGCATCAGCCACTCCCTCCAGTCTCTCGGGTCCGTCCTCCACGCTCTCAACTCGCACGCAGCACAGATCCCCTACAAGGAGACCAAGATCACTCAGCTGCTGCAGGACTCGATGAACCCTTCGTCCTCGGTGATGGTGATGACGTGTATAGCGCCCCACCCCAAGTTCTACCAGGACACGCACAACTCCCTCTGCTACGCCAACAAGGCTCGCGGGTCCGCCAAGACCGGCAACGACAGCCAAGTAGGCAGCGGGTACGGGAAGGGGGGGATGATGGGGACCCAGAGGGTCGGGGTGGACGCCCGGGCGTACGCACTGGCTGGGATGATGGGGACGACGATGGGGAAGCAGGCGGGATGGAGAGATCTGCAGATGAACAACGTGATGATGAACAGACAAGTGCAGCAGAACAAGGAGGTAAGAAGCGGATGAGGGGGGGGGGGGGGGAGGAGGAGGAGGAGGAGTGTGACTGGTGTGTGCTGCAGAACTCGAAGAAGAGGAAGGTGGAAGACAGCAAGGCAAAGATGGCCGCCAACAAGAAACCATCCTTGATCCCCTACCATGCCGATCCCTTCAAGGCAGCCCCAGCCCCACCCGTTCAGCCCAAGGTTGAGAGGACGACGAGCTACCCTCGACCGACAGAGGTGGTTCACCATATGACCAAGGTAGCGATCGAGTTCTTCCTCCTCCTCAAAACTGATCTCAGGCTGAACCTCAGGCTGACACAAACCCGGTGAAAGAGGGGGATGAAGGCACCATCCTATCTTGCTCCATGGAACTTTCACTGGCCAAGACGCCACAGCGCAAGAGCGAGGGAGGAGATTTCTTCGGAAGGTACTCAATCTCCTTCCTCCTCCATCTGTAGCCTCCTCCTCCTCCTCCTCCTCCTCCTCCTCCTCCTCCTTGCTCCATATTCTCTGACTCTCTCTGTGCTCCAGCGCCCTCGGCAAGTCAAACGAGAGCATGACTCCCCTCACTCCTCTCTCCAAGGTCATCTCCCCTTCCTGCTCACCTGTGTCTCCTGCTGACCCCCAGCTCTTCGCCAGCTGCTGAACTCCTCGGGAGATTCCCTCTGCCTCTTCGACGGTGTCATCCCAGGTGCCTCCCTGCTGGCTCAGGGCCTGTCAATCTCTGACGCCTGACCCCAGCGAACTTCTTCGACACGCCGGACAGGCGGACCCCTCCACGTGGGGAGGAGCTGGGGATGGTAGACGACGACTGCTTCCGAAGGAGTGGAGGAAGGGTGAGAAAGAACGAGGAGGAAGAGGAGGTGGTGGTGGTAGTGAGAGATCCTGAGGAGGAGGAGGACTGGGAGGAGGAGGTGAGTTGGGGGTTGTTGACTTTGCGACATCTACAGGGAGGCAGCCTCTCTGCCTGGAGCTCGAGACACAAACCTGTACTGCCTCTCCTTGCTCTGCTAGACGTCGCTGACTGGCCCAAGCAGGTTCAGTACGAGCAAGACGATCAGCGATCGAGCGGGCAGGATGACGGAGGATATGGCAGCCTCTTCATGACGCCACTCAGGTCGACTCCTCCTCCTCCTCCTCCTCCTCCTCCTCCTCCTCCTCCTCCTCCTCCTCCTCCTCCTCCTCCTCCTCCTCCTCCTCCTC